AATCATAAACTATTTTGTATATAAAAAATTTTTATTAGCGATAAAGACCTCAAAGTTTATTATTTATATTACTTTTATTTTAATTAGGTAAAAAAATATTCATAACTGAGAAAAAAATAATTTACTTAAATATTAATTAAATATATCATTTAACTTGGCTTTTCAACGACAACAGCTTATTTAGATAACACTGAAGAAAGGAAATAGTCCACCGGAATAACGTCAAAAAATTCTTTTCTAAAAATTAGTTTTTTTGACAAAATAAAATTAGAGAAAGTGACATTTAACTTTAAGAGTACGAATTACTTTTAATATGGTATATAAGGAGCCAGGGCCGCCAAGAGGAATGAGCAATTGAAGTAGTTTGCCCCGGGCATCACAGACCATGGGGCATTACATATGCCTTAAAAAAAAAAATTTAATGATAAAAAACTTTAGTAGATAACATATTAAAGCTCAAACAATTTTTCTTTAATAATTTCGTACTTCTTTTAAACTTTATTTGCGTTTAAAATAGGATAATTATTACTTTAATTATATTATAAGGTTTTCATTTTCCATTTGAACGAATGCGCCTTTTGTTTACATAACATAGTAAAGATTATTTTTTTTTTAACGGTATGTAAAACTTTAGACGTAAAACAAGTAATTTTATAATGCATTCTTGATGTAACAATTTTACTTGCTTCAAGATATAAGCGTTTAGGAGTAAGAATATTTTTTTTTAATTTTATAGTATATTTTGCAATATTTTATTTATAATTTAAAAATCAAAGTTAAAAGTTATAATTGGATATAAATATGCAAGGCTGACGGTGCCGTTTTTTGGCGTTAGAAATATCTAACTTCCAGACATTGTGCAAACTTTAAACATTTAATGTCAAATAAGGATGCTTTGCAAAAAGTTGCGATGGTTAGAGCTAGGAAACAAATAAGCCTCAAAATTTGTGCCCCCCCCCCCAAACCCCAAACATGTGAGCAACCAGTTGATAAAATATTTTTTGTACTATACTTAACTAGACCAATATTAATCCACTGGCTAAGATCGGACCCATAAAAATGGGGGTCTTTGTAAGTCTATTCTAAACGGAACTTTTCTTTACTTTTTCCCGATACATTCTAGCTTTCCGGAACCGTAAAATAGGGGCCTTAACCAAGCTTAACATTTCATTCCATATCTTTTCTGCACTGATTATTTATATACCTATTCATTATTTAATTCAATATTATTTAGTAAAACAATTTATTCTGAAAAAAACATTCAAGAGTAAAAAACTTAACATGAGCACTTTTTCCGCATATATAGAGCTTATAAAAGACTCATAAGATTTATTTTGCTACTAAATGCATTTCATTTGATAGCTCAGTAGTTAAGTGCGCTGTCATCAGTTTTGTTTTAGACTAGGGTTTAAGACTTTTCTTCAGCGTAATAAACTTTGACATTTTTTTAATAATGTTTATATACTTATAACAAAAAAAATAATAATTTAGCAAAAAGATTTCTAAAATTTAAAATAAATTATTTAGTTTTCTCATTTTATAGATATATTAGCTGTCATGATCCGTAAAACACGGGTCTTGGTAAATTTATTCCACATCGCCTTTTTCCAAATTTATTCCACATAAATTATAAATTTATTTTACATCGCCTTTTTCTATACTTATTCCTAACTTCAATATTTTGTAGTGAGCTGTAGAAAAAAGGCTATATACATGTAGAAAAATTATCATTGTTGTTTGCTTCTTAAATCAAAAAAAATAAAAATTTCTATTATAATTAACCTTAATAAACTTTAAATGTTACGGTAACGTTATGTTGCGTAAATCGCCAATTGGATACCTGTCTAAATACCTGCTTGAAACGTGTAAAAAGTTTCACCTGAACGGACCCGTAAAAACACGGGTCTTTGTAAGTCTATTCCACACTGACCTTTTCTATTCTTTTTCTATAGGTGTATATCCTAATTTTCCTAACCAGTAAAATACGGGTTTTTACCAAAGCAACAATTTCTATACTAATTTATTCCACATAAATCATATTTTAACTTTAATATTATTTGGTAAAATAAAATAATCTAAAAGTTTCTAAAAAATTTCTTTAAGTGCTGTTTCAGACAGAATTAGCAAAAAAACTTAACATACATGCGCATCTTTTCCGTTGACGGATCTTACAAGAGTATCTTATATAAGTGGATCTTATAAGAGATTTATAAAATAGTTTGTTTTTCTCATAATTAGAGAGACTCTATTCCACTTTGTCTTTATTTCTCCTTCTAATATTTTTTTAGTGAACAATAGATTATGAGCAAAAATGAAAGTTTACATTCGCATCTTTTCCGTATACTTAAGGTGAGTTTCCGTTTTTTCAAGGGAACGGGACAGGAAAGAAAAAAATAATCACGTGAGCATGCGTAGTTTTCCTTCGGACATATTAAAACTTATACTACGCATGCCCACGTGATTATTTTTCCCGTCCCTTTCCCGTTCCCGTGAAAAAAAG